ACCTCGGGTGTGTTAGACCGGCGCGGGGCCCATCCGGACCTCGGGCGCAGGCGAGCGCGGGGCCCGGAAGCGGCGACGTTTGCAGGCCCGGGACGCAGTCGCCCTTGGCTTAGTTAGGGGGAATGTCCGTCTGGGCCTGACTCTCCTTGGGTGGGGAGACGGGGTGAAGGTCTTAGTATTTTGGGGGAAGCCACCTCCACCAATCTGAGAATCTTTTGTATGAAAGAGCTCAGTTACCCGCCCAGGGACGTTTTTGGAGACTCGTGCTGTTGGCGAGGGAAGGCTTTACAAGCCCTGAATCACTGTTTTCTCTTGTCGTTACGACAACGAAGAGGTTAGGTGTCTCAGGCAGTAATAATGGGACTTCCGGGGCTAAATCCAGTTTGCATTAGATGTTAGAAACACTGAAATTTATTTTGGACATTTATGAATACTGGTTTTCTCAATTTAAGTTAGAAGATAAAGGTTCCTTTTGGAAACGTTTTGTTTCTAAGGTATTAAAATGTGCACCACAGTGTTGTTATTCTCGGTCCTATGACTAAGTTCTAGGGGTGGGAATATGAAAAGCATTAATGAGTGTAACAGTCCCAATAATTCACATGCTGTATAAATAGCACGCAAAAATGTTGAGGAGGAACTCTTGATAAGTAACTGGGAAAGAGTCGTGGTTCTAAATTTGAGTTTATCTTTAAGAAAAGCCTCAGCTGTCAGTATTACAGTAATGGTGAAATCCTGGACATAAAAAGCTTTGAGTGAATAACCCCTGCGATGCTGCTTCTAAATTTATCTTTCTTTCCCCCATCATTCTTGTAAGTGTGAAAATACTTAACCTGGCTTTGTTTTTTTTTTTTTTTTTTTAATTTTGAAGCTTGTTTATGGTATACTTAATCATATTTAGTTTTGGTCCATATTTAGCTGGTAGCTACCTGCAAATTTCATCAGATCGCCCTTGTGAAAAGTACCTCGGAAAAGATGCAATAGATTTCAAAGAATAAGATTTTTAAAAAAAAAAAAATCTTGACATAAAACTGTCTAGAGTAAGATTATATACACACACCAAAGGAAATATACTAGTATACTAAGTAGTATATTCTAACATTTTCTTGATAAGTCAGAGTTGTTAACTACACTGTTCTAGCCGTGCAGTTATGACCTTAGGAACTTTTAGGCATGAACGGTTGATTTGTGCATATTTTGTGTATTTGAAATCAACCCTGAATTCACTGTATGATCTTCACACAGCTTTTGAAGCTGTTTCCTCTCATCGTATCTGATGTGTGACTCTTAAGAACAAGTATTGCCCCAGTGTTTTTAATCATTAATCCTGGCTTCTGTACATAGTTCAGTCAGCTTCAAATGAACAAAGCTTGTAGACTTTATGACATCTCTTGCCCTTGCCCTAGTCCTAGTAACATGAGATAATGTACGTAAAAATCCTAAGGCACACAACTGACCTACTCTCCTTACCACTTTGTCTCAGAGATATTTTTGCTTTTTAGTTAAAGGTAAAAGATGATTATGGTTGTTGGTATAATTGACCTGATTAAGTTGGAAAGTCACCAGACAGATACGTAAGATGAATAGTAACACTTTTTAATGGTTTTAGGGAATTGTACAGAATACAGTGTTTGTTTATGCTTATAAGAGTTTTTATCTTGGAATAAAAGTCCAGTAAAATTAGTGGTGGTTGTATTTATCTTAAATATGAATTACTGTAAAAGGGTATTGAATTAAATAGAATTATCTTCTTGGAGAGCCTTTATATCTTTTTTTAAATTTGAAAATTTGGGAAAAAATAAGAACGTTACTTTATATTTTAAAAAGATTAGATAACGCTGTCCTCACTTGTAAAGTCAAATTGGGTTATTTGACCGCAGATGGGTCCCTTTCTGCTCTTAAACTGAGGTTCATTTTGTCTTTCTGCACAAAGTGACTTTTTTTAATGATTAAGGTTTTTGCTTGCCAGAATTTGAGGACATTTATAAGTTTTTTTCCTCTTAGATGTGATTGGTTGAAATAAAGAAATGAATATTCAGAAAAAGCAAAGTCCAGGATAATGTATAATAAGTTATTTCCCCTTCAAACCAAACCAAACCAAACCCATTGTCGTCAAATCGATTCTGACTCATAGCGACCCTATAGGACAGAGTAGAACTGCTCCATGGGGCTTCCAAGGAGCGCTAGTGGATTCGAACTGCCACCCTTTGGTTAGCAGCCGAGCACTTAACCACTGTGCCACCAGGGATCCAGAAGACCTGAACATCTTAATGTTTTTATTGCCAGCTGATGAAGTGGTAGCTTACATTGCGCTTCCCTGGTGCCACAGTCACGATAGAGTTTCTCTTTTGGGAAACAGTTTCTCATTTACCTCATAAAATGGAAAATCAGAGACTTACTTTAGTGGAGGAAGTGAAAGAGAATTTTGACAATGGGAAAGGGAGAAGCCAGTTAATCAGCCACAGGCTGTTAGATCTTTGGCACCAAGTCTCTGAGCTGTGTTATGACAGCATGTAGTGCCCGTGAGAAAGCAATCACTTAAAAACAAAAGTAGAACTCCTCTCCCTCCAGCTTTGAATGTAAATGGCTGCAGGCAATAATCTGAGGCTTTATTCCTTCTTACAGGAAACTTTAGGACACTCTTCAAAGCGTTGGTTCTCAATGTCTTCTGTGTCTCTGCGTTTTAAGGAACAGTACACTCTTCTCCCAGGATAGTTTTTTTTGAAAAAGGCTCCCCTTTCCTGATAGAGAATCAGACTGCTGATTTTGATCCTCCCTTCCCTGGCTGAGAATCGCTCCTTCACAGGAGACACGGTACTGTATGACAGTCGGCGTACAGTTTGTAGAATGTCTAAAGCATCGTTACAGATGGTCACTTAGAGTATTTGCTCATCCAAAGATGTCTGCAGTTATCTCTTGATAAAAATAACCACAACTGAATTTACTTTTTCTAAGTTTTGAAGTACTAGTAGATTAGCCTAGGAGACCGAATATTATAGCTAGAGGCAGTTTACTGTTTTCAGCTGTCCTTAATCATTAGGACTATAGCCTTTTAAATACAGAAGGGACCTTAGAACGCCTCACATCTGTCAGGCAAGGCTCTTGGGGCAGAAATTAGTCCAGGACTCAGGGCCCCAGCTGCCCAATGCAGTCTTGTTTGTTCTAGTTCGTCAGCGGCTGCCCCCCTTTTACATACACTTAAATCTGGCTGTTCTCAGGAGCTTGTGCTGCAGGCTAACCTGGCATTTAGAGTATTATAAGCTATTCCCATCTTTCATGCAAGCGTTCCTAGAAATATGCCAGTTGTGCAAAAAGTTACCTAACGTCGTATAAGGCTTATTGTTCCCGGAGGACAAACATTATTTAAAATCTCTAATTACACCTTACTTTTGAAAGATATGTTGAACAGTATCTTCCCAGAATTCCAAACGGAATTTCCTGAACTACTAAAGAGATGGCAGGTTTAAGTGGAGCGTGCTTTCAGCGGATGTGAAAGGTTAATCACTTTTGCGTAGCAAGTGATTTCCGTGGTGGTTTCGCTTTTTGTGCTTGAGACCTGTTCATCTGTCACTGGTATCAGCACTTTCTTTTCATTTTTTTCCCCCCACTCAGTAAATAAAGGCAATATACGAATACGAAAATACACGGAAGTCGTCTGTGTTTACCAGCCTTCACTACCAGAGTCAGGTTCCTTGGAGACAGAGCATGGTTTAATTATCTGTGTACTCCCAGTTGCCTAGCAGAGATCAGCTCACAAAAATCTTTATTGAAGTGATCCATTCTTTGCAGGGAAAGGCTTAAATGGCTGAAAGAGGTAGTTACAGAGATCAGGAGTGAGATAGAAGTGTCAGTGTGTTTATTCTTCACTGGAGGCCTGTCCTCCTGAAGAGGATTGCCTGTGGTCACTAACTCTGCATTGTGATCAGTGAGGGGAAAATGGGGCAGTCCTGGACCACAGAACAAACTGCAAAGCATGGTGTAAGTCTCTGAAACACCAACTCTTCTGACACAGTGCTTGGCACATGGTAGGCAGTTGCTAAGTATTTGTCTAACATGAACTCCTTCACCCAGGAGCTAGCTTAATGCCTACGTGGCTCTAAAGTTTCAGCTCACCAGTCTATACTTCATTCACCTCGTAGGTACAGAGCTTAGCTGTGCTGTGGTCCTTTCTCGCATATGGATTTCTCTCTACAGTTTGAGGTGACTATGTGCTGTCCTTCCACCTAGTTCTCCACCTCTGGAGAATAGGCCTCAGTCAAGTAGTCATAGAATGTTGGATTGTATAAAGGTGTGTAGAGTATATTTGTGTAGAACATATAAAGCAATCTTGAGCTATAAAAAGTTTAAATATTTTTATTCTTTAGAAACAGTATGCGCAAAGTGGCAAAACCCAGGTTTTTAAACTTAGACTTTTTAATAGAAGTCTTTGAATAATGCAGTCTAACCTTTTCTGATTTTGACTTTAAGATTTTCAATTGTAGGAAAAACAATTTAACTCTGTGTAATGTCATTTTTTTTTTAAATTTCTTCTATTCCCATGTACCAGGTTTTTTTTCTTTTTTTTAATAAAGACAAGGAGAAATGTTCTTTTAAATGTTGTTAAGAATTTACATGATATTGAGATATGGCTTACTTTGTTCCCTTGAATATGACGAAAAGAATTGTAATGAAAATGGCATTTATGATCATTGTAGAATTTAGATGACTTGCGTAGTATCTAATGGTATGCTGACATGTATGCATGCTTTTCATCCTGTTCTGCTGTTTTTAAAGTTGGAGTGCTTAATAGAGCTGGTGAGAGCTGGAGCCACTCTGAACGTGTCCACCACGCGGTATGCCCAGACGCCAGCCCACATTGCTGCTTTTGGAGGACATCCTCGGTGCCTCATCTGGTTGATTCAAGCAGGGGCCAACATTAACAAACAGGTAATGAGTGGCCTTGGTCTTGGCTTTTCTATTTCCAGTTAGTTACTTACATGGTATTGAGTTTTAAATTAATGCCTTAATTAGAGACTGGTATCTTTACTTGTGGGTTAACTGGAATTTGCATTTATTGATTTATGGATAATAGTCTTTTTATATATAAATGCTTGCTTTGTATAGAGTGCTTCCCCATATTTGATTTAGTGTAATCCAAGTACCAAGGTGATTTGCCTAAGATTATAGCTGGTAATTGAAGGAGTCTGGCCTGGTGCCCTGCTTTTCTGACTCCCCTGCTCCCAGCTACCTTAGCTTTATTTATTGATTTCTTTTCCACAGATAATTGTAAAAATACATCCCAGCTAGCTAAAGAATGGCTACTAAATCAACTCCATGGCTAAGTCAGTATTAGCAGATATACCAAAATGAGTTAATGTCATTTCAAATACAAATTGGGAATGATGGTAACACAGATGAGTGGCTAAGTGTAATTTAATAATTGGAATGAGTAAGTGACTTCCTGACAATAAGTACAAGGATTTTGAATTTAAGATTAAGCATACAGACATTAATGTAAGTGTACCAGAATCTTCAGCATGTGTTTTCAGTATTCTTTTCACCTAACTGGGAAAAGACAAAAATACAAGAGTGTTTAGATTGTAAGTGTTTAGATCATGAAGGACTTGGTTACATTAAAACCAGCATCTGTGTATAGAAAGATCTAATAGGTATCCTGTCTTGGAGCGGTCCCCGATTTCGCATCCTGGCCTGAAGGTAGATTAGTGTAAGGCACCTGTGCCACTAGCTCTTATAGCTCCTCTTTTTATGCCTTTCTGCTTCTCTCTTCTCCTTTCTCCTATTCTTATATACTTTTCCTACTAATAATTATCAAGTGCCTATGTGTGCAGCAGAGCTTTTATTTTCTCCTTTCTGCTTTTTACTTGTCTTTCCTAAGACTCATTACTTGGTGATAACCAGGTTTAAATTGAGCACCTACTATATTCCATTATTGAACCAGGCATTGGACTGTCTCTCCATTTGCCTTATTCCTGTGTCCTGCGTTCTCCGTTCCTCCACTTTCTCCTTCATCGGCCACACTCACCAGTGGCCTGGGAGAAAGGGAACTGGGGTGCTTGATGTCTGAAGGCTTCGGCTTGATTCCAGGTGCTGTTTCCTCATATCTCTGACCTTGGGAAGTCATTTACTTGGTCTGTTGCTCAACTTCCTTATCAGTAAAATATAATCCCATGAGTGACAGTCATTAATATTTAGTATTCATATGGAATTTAAGTACAGAATATTTTGTATGTTAAATTTTCATTAAGTTGTTACATAGCACCTAATTTAGAGAGGTCTAAAGAGATCGTCTAACACTGCTTTTCAGGCTTTTTAAAATATAGGAAACCTTTCTTAAAAATAGTCTTTTTTGGAAGTCCAACAAGTTTCAGCAGACAAGAGAGTTGGGGTTTAGGCTGTGGAGCCCTGTCACTCCCCCCCTTTCCTCTGAGATGCGCTGGATAGCAGTGTGTGGAAAGGTCTGCTGCACAGTGCTTCCTAATGCAAGATGCACAGTGCTTCCTAATGCAAGATGCACAGTGCTTCCTAATGCAAGATGCACAGTGCTTCCTAATGCAGGAATCCCCAGCAGGTCTTCTGACTTCTTATCCCTCTTTCTCCTGGAATTTTTTGTTTTTCTTGAAGTCTCAACGTGTTGCGCTCGGGTCTGAATTTTCAGATATTGTCTTGCTCTGTTGTGTATAGTTAGACTATTACCTCTCTTGTTATGGACACTCAGTGACCACTGAAGTTATAATAGCTCTTAGTAATCAAAGGAGAGCCAAGGTGGCTATGTTAATATCAGACAAAATAGACTAAGTCAAGATCTGTTACAAGAGACAAAGGAGTACATTATATAATGATAAAAGGGTCAATTCATCAAGATGATATAACAGTTATAAATATATACATCTAACAGCACAGTCTCCAAATATATGAAGCAAACCTTGACAGAATCAAAGCAAGTAACAGACAGTTCACTTGCTTGCTGAAAGTGAAGAGGACTTGAAGCACTTACTGATGAAGATCAAGGACTGCAGCCTTCAGTATGGATTACACCCCAACATAAAGAAAACAAAAATCCTCACAACTGAACCATTAAGTGATACCATGATAACGGAGAAAAGATTGGAAGTTGTCAAGGATTTCATTTTACTTGGATCCACAATCAACGCCCCTGGAAGTAGCAGTCAAGAAATCAAACGATGCATTGCATTGGGCAAATCTGCTGCAAAAGACCTCTTTAAAGTGTTAAAAAGCAAAGACCTCACCTTGAGAACTAAGGTGCGCCTGACCCAAGCCATGGTGTTTTCAGTCACCTCATATGCGTGTGAAAGCTGGACAGTGAATAAGGAAGACAGAAGAAGAATTGACACCTTAGATTTATGGTAAAGAATATTGACTATACCATGAACTGCCAAAAGAACGAACACATCTGTCTTGGAAGAAGTACAGCCAGAATGCTTCTTAGAGACGGTGGTGTTGAGACTTTGTCTCACATACTTTGGACATGTTATCAGGAGGAATCAGTCCCTGGAGAAGGACATCATGCTTGGTAAAGTAGAGGGTCAGCGAAAAAGAGGAAGATCCTCAATGAGATGGACTGACACAGTGGCTGCAACAGTTGGGCTCAAGCATAACAACGATTATGAGAGTGGCGCAGGACCCGGCAGTGTTTCGTTCTGTTGTATATAGGGTTGCCATGAGTCAGAAATGATTCCATGACCCTAACAACAACAACACAGTGGTAGCTGGATACTTCAGTATACCACTTTCAGTAATGGATAGACCATCTAGGCGGAGGATCAGCAGGGAAATAAAGCACTTGAATAACATTGTAAACCAACTAGACCTAACAGACCAGAACGCTCCACCCAACAACAGCACAGCACACATTCTTCAGTGCACACAGATAATGCTTCAGGACAGACCATACAGAACAAGTCTTAGTAAATGTACAAAGATTGGTATCATACAAAGTATCTTCTGCAAACATGATGGAATGAAACTAGAAATGAATAACAGGGAAAACTGGAAGACTCACAAATATGTGGGAATTAACATGTTCTTAGCCCTTGGTTCAAAGAAGTCACGAGGAAAATTAGAAAATCCTTAGAGGTGAATGAAGATGAAGGCACACCATACCAAGACTTGTGGGATGCAGCAAAAGCAGTGCTCTAGAGGGAAATTTATATCTGTAAACTCCTACATTAAGAAAGAAGAAAGGTCTCAATAATGTTACACCTTGAAGAACTAGAAAAAGAAGAGCAAACTGAACTGATAGCTAGCAGAAGGAAAGAGATAATAGAGTAGAGAGCAATAGCAGAGATAAATGAAGTAGCGAATAGAAAAACAATACCACCAGCAAAACTAAAAGATGGTGTTTTGAAAAGATAATAAAATCAACAAATTCTTTAGCTAGATTGAAAAGAGACAATAACAAATCAGAAATGAATCTGGGGACAATACTACGGATCATACAGAAAAGGATTGTAAGAATACCGTGAACAATTGTGGAGTCCTGGTGGCGCAGTGGTTAAGAGCTTGGCTGCTAAACCGAAGGTCGGCAGTTCAAATCCACCAGCTGCTCCTTGGAAACCCTGTGGGGCAGTTCTCCTCTGTCCTCTAGGGTTGCTGTTAGTCAGAATCGACTCAAGGGCAGTGCGTTTGGTTTGGTGTTTTTATGAGCAGTTACAGGACAACAAATTAGATAATCTAGATGAAACAGACAGATTCCTGAAAACATAATAGCTCTTTTGTTAGCTCCACCCAGCACACTGTTGATTCATCCTGAACTAGACAATAAATTTTTCTGATATAAACTATTATAAAGCCAGATCCAGGTTTTTTTGTGTTCTTGTGTGTGCGCCTGTATGCACATTTGATTTTTTTGAGCCTGGAATAGCATTTCTTCTTAATATCATATTAGTTTTAACCCATTTTCTAGCCCGTTGATCTTTTGGCGTGTCATTTATTGTTTTACGTTCGTCTTCTCTAAGTTTAATGTAGACATTCTTTGCTGTCCATAAAATTAGCGTCTGAGACTGCTGGAACTCAATGTACCATCTGTAGCCTCAGTGTTCTAAGTTTATCCAGAGAGGAAAGGAAGTTAGTTTTCATGTGATTTATTTTTAGTAAGTCTGTTGACTACCAGTGGTATCCCTTTTTGCAAGTGTCTGCAGGCCGTTTCTTTCATGACCGTTCTAGAAGTTTGCGGGCATTTCATGGTGCCTTTGGCTTCTAGTGTCTAGAGTAGAAATCCAATTTTTCTTACCTTTATTAAAAATCAAGGTGATTTTCCTGTCTTCAGACTTCTGGCACCTCTCCATTGTCAGTTATTAGTTACTTATAGAGTCGGAATTGACTAGATAGTAACAGGTTTTTTCTTGTTTTTTTTTTTTAATACCAACAATAGTTATGTAATCATGGGGCAAGATATTTAGTACTTTTGAGATGTGATCAATCTGTGCTTGAGACTTGGATACCCTTAATATGGCTGTTTACTTTTAGTATCTTTTTTCTTGGCTGCAGTTTTCTTTAAATAGTATCTGTTTTGCCATTTTTACTTTAAAGATTATTCTCGTTGTATAACACAATAGGAGCTGGATAGCTTTGCTATTTCTTTCTCATCTGTTAATAGCTCATGATTTTCTTAAAGCAGTGCAACTAACCCTCCTTCATCTTTTCCCAAAAATAGCTACCCTTTATTGTTGTCTTGAGCATTTTTGTTTTATTTGTCCGATTATGTACCTCTTTTCATCCCTCGCCCCTTTTTTGGAGAGAGAGAGTAGGTTGGTGCTTTTTTAAAAATCTGAGTTCACCAGATAGTTCCCTGTGTATCCACATGGTTTTCTGTGTTTTTTTCCTTTCTTCAAAAATGAGATTGTTCTGTTTAGATCTTTACATCCATTTTAAGCTTATTTTAAAATAAATGTACACACTCTTCCTTCACTAGGCAGTCAAAGCTTTCATGTATTTTTCTATAAAGTCATGAACCACTCTTTCTTTTTACTTTGGATGGCTTTCTTGAACTTGAATTAGGACCTCGATTTTTTTTTCCCCTCTGAGTTAATATGTATTGATGAAGAACTCAGATATTTACTGAATTTTCTCATGAACTTTTTTTTTTACCTTCATACAGTGTAACCTAATTCTTTTTTTTTCGGGGATGGCTGCTGTAGTCTCCAAAGTCCTTTCTCTAACTACTCGCGTTCTTCCACGTCTCATGGAGCCTCCATTTCACTTACAGAGTCATTCTTAAAAGCATAAAGCTAATTGGAATACACCCTTTCTAAAAACCCCTCAATTATTGCCAGTCACATACAGGATAAGTACCAAATTATTGGATCTGTATGCGAAGTTTGCTAATTTTGACCCTTGTGTTCTTTTCCCGTCTCCTCTTTTGCCTGGCTCTTGAACCTCCAACAATCTTGTTTTAAAATGTCCTAATTCAGGTTCCAGAGAGAAAATTCAAGATAGGTATTGATGTTGTTTTGACTCAGATTAGCATTTTGGTAGAGACAGTTGAAAATGGGTAAATTAGACCATAAGTTAGATATTAAGTACTATTTCTTGGCCTTGATTACTATTTCAATATGGATTTTTTCCCTACTTGTCATAGGGTAATTATTTTGGGTATTATATAGAGCACACTTGTGCTAAGACTCAGCGTAAAATTACTGATAAGTTGTCATCTAGAGCATTAATGCTGTCACTGCTGTGAAGGCCCTACGATTTTTTTTGCCAGAGGCTGTGGACCTCTAAAATTTGGAAGAACACGCTCCCTTTCCTTTTTGTGTTCTGCTTCAAATTTGGGTCACCATATTGTTTTATATCAAAGATGAATGAGTTTTCTCGTCCATGATAATTATTTGACTTTAAAATTTTGTAAGATCCAAATGCTTGTGTGTGTTTTGCTTTTTGTATTTTTAGGATTATGAGGGTGAAACCCCCATTCATAAGGCGGCTCGCTCTGGCAGCCTAGATTGCATAAGTGCCCTTGTGGCCAACGGAGCTCATATCGAGTAAGTGTTTTGATTTCTTCTTTTGAACTGAAGACATAGTAAAGGATGTTGTGTTTAAAGACAATATTTAGAACAAGCAAAAATGCCTCAAGCTTTTTTTATTAATATAAGTAATATACTTTTGCCTTTTAAATCAGTTGGCGTTAGTGAGGAAAGTTGTTGTGTGGATCATGTTGCACCAGCAGAAGGGGGCTTAATTTCATTTCAGCCTGGGAACTCCTTGTCATGAGAGAAAGTGTATTATGGAGAGAATAGTTAACTGATTAGACTGGAATCTAAAATCATTGACTGCCGGCAGCTAGTTGTATCACTGCGGGCAAGTCTTCAACATTTTCTTTGCCAGGTTTTAATTTGAGGGGCTTGAATTGGATTAGAGTTTCTTTTGAGGCTTCTTTTTGACTCACAATTCTTAAAGACACTTAGCTTTTCTAAGCTTTGATTTCCTCATCTTAGAAGATGTGAGAACGTTACGTTTTAAAAGCCTATTATGACTTTTAATGATCTATAGCTCTGTAAAATGGAGCAGTATACATTAAAGACTTCAAGCTTGCTTTGAGCTTTTGATACTGATGGCATTATTTTAGAATAACCTTGCTTAAGCCCATTTTAGATCAACTAGCTCATTTTTGGTTTGATAGAAAAATCTTAATATTTGAGTATATTATTTAGAAATGTGATCTTTTATGCATTTTTTTTAGCTAGCCATAGCATTAGACATTTATTTTAAACTCATTTGTATTAACTTTCTCTTAAAGATTTATGTTATAAAAATTTTTCTTCTGCAGTTTGCAGCATTAACAAAATGGATGCGGTTTTCACCCCTAAATGTTGAGTGTAAGCTATATAGCCGTCATAACCAAAATAACTGTAATAATATCAGCTTTTTTATTTTACCTTATTGTTTTGAATATTTCACAAAAATTAATTATAAACCACTTTAATTGGAAATGTGAAATTTTAAACTTGGAGAGAAATAAAAACCACATAACTAATTAGTTTAACCCTTTGGTTTCCATTTTGTTATTTTGACTCTGTATTAAACTAAGTACCAAAACTTAATCCTGGACAGCAAAACCATACAGGTTAGTGCAAGGCAGTACCAAGGACTGTCTTTTTGGGTCTTAGTCTTTTAGCATTTTAGCTTCTATTCCATTAAGTATTATTGTCAAGACTAGTCACTGATTCGGGCTTGGATCATGTAGTTAAATAGTGATTTAGTGTTATAAATATGGCCTGTATTAACCACTACATTGCAGGAAACCTATGACTTAGTTCATATGTAGTTATTATTTAAGGTAAAGTAAAAACAACTGATAATACAAATATTTATACAATTTTAAAACTATTGAGTATAATTCTAAGTGGATTACTTTAAATCTAAAGTTATAAGTGCAGCTTTATTAGCTATGTTTAGATAAAAAATTCAAATCTTTAATTTTAATAACAGAAGCTTTGATTATAAAATACAGAGTCACATAAGAAGTAATTGATCAAATCCTTTATTGTCATTTATTGAAATGATAGATAATCAGAAGTTGACCCTTTTAACAACTTATTTTTCGAAACAGTACTCTAATTGGTCCTGAATATTTTATTACGAAGATGTTAGTTTTATTAATAGACCAGCTTAATCCTTTGAGCCGATGAACATCTGTCACTATGTCCTTTTTTTAATTGGTGTCTCTTTAAAAATGAGAGTATTTTATTTATCATTCTGTCCTTGGTTACAGGACCCTCGAGTGTCCCTTTTCCCTTCTCTACCAACAGTGGGATTGAGCACGGCCTCCAGTACCACTCTGGTTTTCCTTCTCAGTATAAGAGCCACTCCCCCAGGACCGTGCATATGGTGATTTCCCTTGACTGAACGGCCATGTTTTTTTTTTTTTAAAGAGGAAATATTTAGTCTGAGCCATCTAGCCAAAAGCAATTTTAACCTAAAATTAGAAGTTTTTAGCCTGGAGATAGAGCAGGTAATCATTATTTATGGCTATTGTATATGTGATTATTTAATTTTTACATCCAGATAAAATGTCAGTTTTGCCAGTAGGCTAAATTGCAAATTGCTTCTTGATATCTGCTCTGCACAGTTTTATAGTTTAACACCTTAGTCTACTGGCATATAATGGTTTGGTCCCCGAAACAATGGTGCTGAGCTCTGTTGTATTTTTCTGTCATGCTGCTCTCCAATGGTAAAGCGTAGCCCTAGCAAATAATAACTTTTATGTTGAAAGAAGATCAAGAGGCACAGAATTAATTTACTTATTTAAAGTTACTTATTTTTTCTTTTCCAGTTCAGAATTGGCCAGATGAGTAATTCTTCACATTACATGCTGTAATATTTAGGAGATAATGTACATTTTTCTTTTTCCTGTGACTAGATTTAAAACTATTTTATGCCATTATTTTTAAATTAATAATTTTGCTCTTAATCCCTACTTTGCTTTTTATATATCTGCTACATAAAATAGCCAAAGTCTTAAAATTGTTCTGTTTTATTAGCCACTAGGGTGGGTAATGATGAGGGCAAGTTATCCGAAGTATTTGTGGCTAGAAATGGCTTGTTACATAACTTACTTGTTAATGTAGGTTGCATCTATATGATAACGCATGTCAGCTGCTGTGCATCGTATTAAATTTTCTAGCACCACACGTGAGTATGTTAACGGACTTTCTTTTTCTTATTTTAAACCTTTAGTTTTGGTGCCAAGTTTTCTTTCCCACTTGAGGATTTGTTTCTGACTCGCGCGATGTCTCTTACTATCTGGCATTGTTTCCATCTGAAAATACACAGAATTAAGTGTCAGTTCTGTGACCAAGCTAAATGTTTGTGGACTTTAAATCGTCTCAGCTTCTGCAGACTATTCTCATTCTCACTTTTTTCTCCCTGTGTCTGAATATGGAGTTTCATTATGTAAAATTGTCCTCACCCTTAATTTTGCTTATATTGTAATTCAGTTTCCCATTCTAGCACTATTTGAATGCTTACAGTTGTTGATTGGAAAAAAGGCATATACTAATGTGAAAAAGTGGTTCCCTTTGGGACGATAGAATAAGTAACAGCATAAGATTACGTATCAGTGTGATTACCTGCTGATAATTGAGATATTTTTACTGCTAATACTGTAAATAGCAGAATTTGAGTCTTGGATTATCTTTGTTTATAGTATTTTGGAACCAGTTTAGTTACTTCTTTGTGTTTATTGAGATCACGTAGAAAATATTTCCATGTCAGCCAGATACAGAGTAGCCTTCCTTTAACGCCTCTTAGTAAAAATAAAGGGATTTAGCTGGATTTAGAGTGAAACCAGAATTACCTGCATCCCGGGTAACTTTGGTAGCCCTTTAAGACCACGTTACACAGATGCAAGCGTTTAATTGGGTTTTGCGGAAATCTCAATCTTTTCTTACAGGAGAGCATTTCTGTGGAAGCCATTAGTTCTGTGGTCCAGGTTTTCACAGGGGCTGCTACATATATTTTAACTTAATTATTGATCCCAAGATGAACTTAACTATGATCATCAGATCGAAAAATATCTGTAGCCTCATAATAAGCAAGGTCAGTGACTTACCCTAAAAAAATGTTTATTTCCTAATTTAGAAAACACAGTTGGCTGTAATAACAGAAGTCTACAATGTGATTTTAATAGTTTTTTTTTTACAGTGTTGCAAAAAAGTATGTTGCTGAGCTTCTAAATTCTTAATTAACATGTAATTGCTTTAATTTGGTCAAGATAGGTGGCCATTTTGAACCACCTCCATTTCCTTACCAATAGAGCTCTGTCTGGAAGCAGACATTTTGGGAGAGGAAATATACAGGATGAAAGTATTTAATATTACTGTCAGGAATTTATTTGCAACTTTTGCCCTTGGCAGAAATGTAACCCAGATTTACTTTATTATCCATTAACTCATTTCTGAATTTGTTGTAAACCATACTGACTCTATAGTCTTTTAAAAAATTTGAAAAGTAAGTTTAAGATTTGTTAATTCTCATTTGAAAATTAATAATTTTAATTCGTAATATGCTTAAAACAACCTTAAATTATTTTTAATATTCCTCCATTAGTATAGTATAATAAAATAATTACTAGCTAGTACTATATATAGTCTCAAGTTTTGGGATTTATTTTTTTTCCCCATCCTTTCTCAGTGTGTTTAAAGCTCGTTTTAATACCTGGTTAGTGAGTCTCGTGGTGAGTCTGTGTTTGCCTGACTTACTCGTTGGCAGTTCAGAGTAAGAGACTAGTCTGTGTTTGCCTGACTTACTCGTTGGCAGTTCAGAGTAAGAGACTAATCATGACGTTCAGTGGATTAAGTGGTTCATTGTGTGAGTATTGTCTGATTTTAGGTCTTCTGATTTCTAGTTGTCCTCACCTTCTGCTTTTGCTTCCCTTACGTACTTGTCACTGAAACAAGCTTGTCCAGTCTTCCTATTTTCTGGCTCTTAATCCTTTTATTAAGCAGTGTGGAAGAAATTATTTCCTGAAATATCTATTCCTTTTTTCCTGGCAGACAGGAACAGGTGGTGGGTTGACAGTATTCGAGAGTTGTTGACAAGTTTAGTTTAGAATTTTGATTGTTTTTAATAACAACCTAAATAATAATATTTTTTAATCATTAATCATTAAATTCATTTAATTCATTTTAAACAAACTTAACCAGTGCTTTTACAAATAGTGCTTTGAATATGACCAATGGTTTCTATATCCAGATATATTTTTTCCCTTGCTAAATTATAATGGGAGAATGTTGAATATTTCATCAAGCTTCTTAAATGATGCTCATATATTTTAATGTATGCAAGCATAATTTAGGTTAAATTACAATATAAAACTATCCTCAGCGATGTTGAACTTGAATTGAAAACTTGGCACCAATTTTATTCAGGTTGAAACTTTGTAAAAACACTAGTTTCTTCCTTTTGTTACCTGAAGAATATATTTAAGAAAGTCTTTATAATTATTTAAGCATTTGGATACCAAAGGGTTAAAAGCACACTG